TCTAGTACAAGATCAAAACTTAACATTCATAAAAAAGTGTGAAGCACGCATAAAATTTTATCTTAGCTAAGTTTGAATTCTCTTTTATAATTGATTTTGTCACTCTTTGCGAGAAACGTACGCCATATTTAATTCTTAGGTCAAAAACACCTGATATCCCCTATTATCAATAGTTTTCCCCATACCACCAAAACATGTGATCACAGAGTAGGTACCACTGATATACAGTAGGTACATAGTAGGTACATAGTAGGTACATAGTCGGTACATAGTAGGTACACAATAGGTACATAGTAGGTACATAGTAGGCACATAGTAGGTACATAGTACCTACTCTGTGATTACATGTTTTGGCGGTATGGGGAAAACTATTGATAATATGGGATATCAGGTGTTTTTGAGATAAGAATTAAATATGGCGGACGTTTCTCACAAAGAGTGACAAAATCAATTATAAAAGACAATTCAAACTTAGCTAAGATAAAATTTTATGTGTGCTTCACACTTTTTCATGAATGTCAAGTTTTGATCTTGTACTAGAATATCACACCTGCAACCTGCACACCTGCACCTGCAACCTGCACCTGCACACCTGCAACCTGCACCTGCACACCTGCAACCTGCAGTTTAAACCCTCCGCTGCATAATTATATCGGCAGGTACAAAACGCAGGTTGCAGGTTGCAGGTTGGAATTTTGCAGGTTGCGAATTTTGCAGGTTGGAATTTTGCAGGTTGAGGATTTTGCAGGTTGGGATTTTGCAGGTTGGAATTTTGCAGGTTGCCAGGAACTTTGCAGGTTGATAGTGCAAACTTAAAATTAACACCACATTTTTAGTATTCTAGTATAACTTATTCTAGTATAACTTAGTTGTGCATTTATTGCAGTCTGACTCCTTGTTGGCGCCTCTGCTCTAAGGCTAGTGGCCATCACCCCCATGAAAACATTCAAAATGACCAGATTGGTTTGGACCTACAAGGAGACGAATGTTTTGATTGTTGCGAGGTGCCTACATGATGTGGCGGCGTTTATACTAAAATGCTGTTAAAAGTTAACTAACTCTCGAGTAATGATACGGTAATTGGGGGCTTGAGTGGTCTCATAAGTGAGTGCAGAGGAGAGACACCTTATTCAGGCATTTTCTGAACTGCCACCACGTCATGTAGGCTCCTCGCAACAATCGAAACATTCGTCCCCCTGAAGATCTAAGCTAATCTGGTCATTTTGAATATTTTCACAAGGGTGATGAGCAGAGGCTAGAAACATGGTAGTAGGATAGGCTGATATCAAAAGCGGCGACAAGGAGTCAGACTGCAATAAGTACACAATAAAATTATACTAGAATACTTTATAGTAGTGTAATTTTCAGTTTGCATCATCAACCTGTAAAATTCCTGTTAACCTGCAAAATTCCAACCTGCAAAATTCCACAACCTGCAAAATTCCAACCTGCAAAATCCCCAACCTGCAAAATTCCAACCAGCAAAATTCCCAACCTGCAAAATTCCAACCTGCAACCTGCAACCTGCAACCTGCGTTTTGTACCTGCCGATAATTATATGTTACAATCATAATCACATTATAAAGTTAGTTAAATTTTCTCGGTGCGAGGGTGGGGGTAGCATTTGCCCTGCTGCACTCCTCGCTGTGTACAGCCCTGTTTTGAATCTTATCTGCCATTATAATAAGTGATGAAATATTTCAATTGTCCCATGTCACCTTCATTATTCAGTTTCTTTCAAGAAAATACAAAATGTGAATCAAGTTTTTTCGCAGATACATGTACGCGTCGCGTACCTATTTTTTTAAATGCCATCATTTGAAGGAATTATAGATAAGATTACTGTGTGCAAAAAATTAAAGTGTTTACCGAAGAAATTTTCAAAAAATTATCAAAGAATCTGCAAATTGGCCCTTTTTTAAATCGCGTTGTTACCATGGCAACGTGGATTTTTAACGACATTTTTTATTTTTCGTAATTCGCGATATTGTAGCAGTTATGTGGTCAAGTTTCGTGATCATACTTTGCAAGATGATAAAATAATGTTTTTTTTAATACAATTGTGTGCTGTACAATCAAAACTGTATGGAGCCACCTTAACTGGCCTTTAAAAACGGTAAATAGAACTATTTACGAGTATTTCTGGGATTTCATTCTTTGTAAGATATGTCGAAAACTCCTCACTCTATTGCATGCAATTTAAATTTCATGAAACAAATTTCAATCTGTCACTTCCGTTTCTCTGACTAAACATGAATATCTCAAAATTAACATCATGACAAATCAGACAACATACATCAGTTATACCGAGACGAGCAGGCCTAGCAAGTTTCCAGATTTGTTAAGTAGACTGATCTGCCCGACTAAACCAGTGCCTTTTTTAAGGAATTTTCACTGGGGGAGCAAAACAGGAAAAAAAGGCAGAACGAAAAATATGAGCCGTCGAGGTTTGGCGAAAGCGCGAGTCTGAAGAGAGATTTTGTAAAACTTTAATTTATTAACTTCACCTATATCTTACTTTAAACAATAACTTCAACTCTTTGTAGCTATAATCGTACAGCTATAACCAGTGGCGTAGCCAGACCTTAATTTTTTTGGGGGGGTCGAACCTCCCGCCGAAGGCGTGAGACCGTTTAGGAGGGTCCGTCTAGGAGGGGCATGCACCCCCGGGATAATTTTGAAATCTAGGGTCCCTGAATTGCGATTTCAAGCATTTTGGGGTGAAATCTAGCAGAATTCCGAAGATTATAAAGTATATCGAAGACATGAATTTTTCCAGACATTTCTACTCGGAATTAAATAAATTGGAAAAGTCGCCTTGAAAAATAGGAGGAGGGGTCAGTGTCACCTTATTTCCTCTCTGTGATGCTGGGGGGGGGGGGGGGGGGGG